GGAGAAGCAGACTCTCCACTGAGCAGGGAGCCTGACGTGGGGCTCGATCCCAGGACCCTGGGATCATGACCTGAGCCGAAGGCAGCCGCTTAACAACTGAGCCACCCAGGCGCCCCAAATTAAAAATTTTTAAAAAAGGAACTGCATCCACACAGTGGTCAGCTTGGAGGCCGGGAGCCACTCTTATTCCACATGGTTGCAGGCCTCTACCCGTCTTTTCTAGCAGATGTACAATTCATTAAGCCAGTGTCATCTCTGGGCATTTGGATCAGTGCCAAGCCAAAGGTAACCCACTGGAGACCAGAAGAAACGTCCTCCGGCCAACAGCCCTTCCTTGGTGGCTCAGGATGACTGTCAGTGCTACGACCACAGGGGCAGAACATGAACCTTTTCCTACGCTGGGCAGGTAGCTTCCAATGGGTGTCTTTCCAGCTTCACTTGGCTGCCGCCCCTGGGGAAAGCCGGTGCTGGGGGTCCTGGCAGGGCCAGAATGATCGACACCTTGGGTCCTTACCCTTGGGCCCCTTGGCAGACCCAGTCTGGGGTTTGCTGACTGCCCCCCGAACTGCTTCTTACCTTTGCTCCTTTGGTTCTTACCAATTTGCACGAGCTCTTAAAAGACTGATAACACCTGGCTTGTTCCTATCACACAACCTGCTCTCGAATGCACATGGGCATGCAGCGCTGTGAGAAATGTGTGCTTTTGGATATGTTGTCTGGGGTCTGGGAGGTTTGAAGATTTCGTGATATGGGAGTGTGGGTATTGCTGGGGGTGGGGGTTAGGACCCAGTAATGGAAACACATGTCCTCGGAGCTCCTGCCCCAGCACATCAGGGGCTGGTGGGAGGCACCTTGCACGCAGGCCACGGCATACGCGTGAGTCCTGGGCCTGCTTCCTGTGAGTCGCCGGATGAAGAACCAGGCTAGAGACGTGTTGCCACAAGTTGACTACCTGCTAATGACCGACAAGCATGAAGCCTCCACCTCATTTATAAAGAAAAGATTGGAAAACAGTTCGGTGGTTTCTCAAAACATTAAACGTAGAGTTACCATAGGACCCAGCTATCCCACTCCTAGGTATTGACCCAAGAGAAAGGAAAACATATGTTCTTATAAAAACTTGTCCGTGAATGTTCACAGCAGCCTTATTCACAATAGCCAAGAAGTGGGAAAAGCCCCCATGTCCATCACGTGATGAATGGATAGAGAAAATGTGGTGTTGCCGCACGGTGGAATATCACTCAGCCATGAAGTACCAATTCATACTCCAGCGTGGATGGACTCGATGACAGGATGCTCAAACACTAAAGGCCATATGTGACATGATTCCATTTACATGAAGTGACCAGAACAGGCAAATCCATGGGGTCAGGAAACAGATTCGTGGTCACCAGAGGCTGGGGAGTGACTGCTAACAGGCATGGGTTTCTTTCATTTTGGGGTAAAGAAATGTTCTGGAATGAGACAGTGGTGACGTTTGCACAACTTTGTGAATATATTAGAAACCCCTGAATTTTCACTTTAAAAAAAAAACAACTTTTATTTATTTATTT